AAAATGTCTCTAAAAATCCGGTGCCTTGGTGGACCAAAGGTACAAGAAAATCAAAGAGAGAAATAGAAATGTGTAATAAGATGTCACGGAAAATAACTTTTGAAAAGGTAGATGAGTACTTAAAAAAGAAAGCAGAAGCACAGCGTGTGCTCCGCCAAGCAGAACGAAATTACTGGCGAGCATTTTGCACAAAGCTTGATCAGTATATGCCAGAATCTAAGATCTGGGCTTGTATAAAAAAAGGGCTGAATGGTGTACTAATAAAAAAAACAAAAAAAAACAAAAATATGTCAACATTGATTGTAAATAGTAAAGATATTGTCTCCGATCAGGAGAAAGCAAATGCCTTTGGAAATTACTTTCAAAAAATAGGAATAAAAGACAGGGATACTAATAAGGAATTACCGAAGGCACCAAATAATGACATTCATATTTTAAATGTAGATCATGTTATAAATGAACCCTTTTTTATAACAGAATTTGAAAAGGCAGTGCAATCGCGAAAAAAGACTGCCCCAGGAAAAGATAATATACCTTACGTTGTTTATGAAAATCTGCCAAAAGCAAACAAGGAAATCATGCTGAACATTATTAACTTAATATGGAAAACCGGGAAATTCCAATTCAACTAAAGCATTCTATAATAATCCCTATTCTCAAACATGGAAAAGATCCCAGAAATACATCGTCATATAGACCAATCTCTTTAACATCATGTTTTGCCAAAATAATTGAACGAATGATAAAAGAAAGATTACAATGGTATGTTGAAAAGCATGAATTATTACCCATTTTTTTAAGTGGATTTAGGAAAGTCGTAGTAGTGTGACGGACAAATTGTACAATTAGAAAATGACATCCAAAAGAGTATAAATTGTAATGAACATGTAATAGCGGTTTTCTTGGATGTCGAAAAGGCTTCGATACAGTTTGGATAAAGGGTCTGGTTTTTAAATTAGCAAAAAATGGAATAGAAGGGGAACATGCTGAGATATATAGAAAAAATTATCTAACAGCACGAACTTTTCAAGTACGAATTGGAAATACAGAATCTAAAACTTATAAAACGCATAACGGGTTACCACAAGGGAGTGTTTTAAGTCCTCTTTTATATAATATAATGATGGGTGATATACCTACAGACCAAGATGTAAGCATATCTATGTATGCAGATGACTGCGCAATATGGATATCAGGCAGGAACATTGTACATATTACTGAAAAAATACAGAAATATTTGAATCTTTTAAATCGTTGGTTTGAAGAGTGGGGGTTTCGACTCTCACCTGTTAAAACAGTGCCCGTATTTTTTACGAAAAGCTGGAATGCCGTTCTACCGCCCTGATATAGAACTGAATGGAAATGTGTTAATGTACGAAAAATCTCATCGCTTTTTAGGGGTTATATTTGATAAAAGGTTAACTTGCAACCACATATCGAAAATGTAATCACGAGAAGTAAAAGAAAATTAAATATCTTAAGATGTCTAACTGGAACAAACTGGGGAAGTTCCTCGAAATCACTTATCATGGTGTACAGAGCAATTATAAGGTCTCTTTTTGATTACGGATGTGAGGCGTATGACAGTGCAGCTGCTACCACCAAAAAAGCCATTGACTCTGTCCAATACCAAGCACTGAGGATATGCGCAGGTGGGCTGCCATTAACCTCCTTAGAATCACTACAGGTGGAAATGGGGGAAATGCCTTTGGATATAAGAAGACAAATGCTTTCAAGTAAATATAGACAAAACATCGAAAGATGGGCGAATCATCCGTTGTTAAAAAACATTGAACCATGTTGGCATTTTGAATACTTGAAGGGAAAAACGTAAACAAACCTTTTGGATATAGAATACAAAGCAAGCTGGGAAAACGTATAGAAACGATAACCTACTCCCCATTTCCACCATGGTTATTCTACCCCCTCCGGCAGTGTCAACGGAATTAAGTACTCGAATAAAGAAAACAGATCATCCTACACAACAAAAACAAAGCAGCCTGGAAATCATACATACTAAATGGGCGACTCAATTACATATATACACCGATGGATCAAAAGTACCTGAAAGAGGGACCTCTGCAGCTGCTTTTTACGTCCCTTACTATTCTGTACATCGGAGCAAAAGGTTAGCAAATTTCACCTCTTCGTACAGGGCTGAATTGGCTGCCATCATTCTTGCTCTCAGATGGGTAGATGAATTAGACATTTATGTGGGGGTTGTTATTTTTAGTGATTCACTGAGTGCACTTATTGCATTACAACAACAGAAGGACGAATCTTTTATTCTGGAAATTCTCACCATGACTACTCACTTAAAGAATAAAGGAGTTGATATATATGTAGAGTGGATACCTGGACATTGTGGAATAAAAGGGAACGAGATGGCGGATTTCCACGCAAAGGCCGCATTAGTAAAGAAAATAGAAGTCAATAATAACCTAAATATGTCAGAAATGAAAAGCTTAATTACTACAAGTTCCAAACTCCTTTGGCAAGAAAGGTGGAACAAAACCAACTCATATTTGAAAAACATATCAAAAAGATGTTAATAAACCATATATATGCTCATTAGAGAGACAACATTCAACAATAATACATCGACTCCGCTTTGGAGTCCTTGGACTTAACCAGGATCTCCTCAGATTGGGAATTCATGCTACTGGTTTCTGTAATAGATGCCCCAGTGAAATAGAGACTGTAAAACATTTTTTAGTACATTGCCCTAACTATATTATAGAAAGGGCTATGTTTCTAACAGAAATTAACGAATCCCAACCTGAAAAAATTATGGAATACTTAAAAAGAGTGAGTCCAGTATACAAAAAGCTATTGTACGGTTCTTTCTCAGAACGAAACGGTTCCCTATCAGGAAGTAATACCTCCCTTGATGAACAGTAAAATATAATACAATATTATAAATATGCTAAATTACACTCAGTACATTAAAAATATAATAACATAATGTAATAAGAAAATAAAAAAAAGAACAGTAAAACATAATACAATATTATAAATATGTTAAATTACACTCAGTACATTAAAAATATAATAATAATATAAGTAATAAGAAAATAAAATAAGAATAGTAAAACATTATACAATATTATAATATGCTAAATTACACTCAGTACATTAAAAATATAATAACAATCATAATGTAATAAGAAAATAAAATAAGAACAGTAAAACATAATACGATATTATAAATATGTTAAATTACACTCAGTACATTAAAAATATAATAACATAATGTATTAAGAAAATAAAATAAGAAAAAGTAACAACAATGATAAAAGGTATGATAAGATTACTGAATATAGAAGCTTGTGTAGGTGCTATCTTATATACATATTTATGTATGGTGTGTATGTGATATAACAAATAATCTGCACGTACTGTTAGAAACACTAACAAAGCCCATGAATGTTTTGCTTACGATATTATTTTACGATACTATCTTAAAAGATAGATAAATATAAAACGAAATAAATGTATTTTTAAAAAAAATCCCAAATTGAGAGATATAACACGTGCCGTAAAGTAATTTGGCGACAATAGTCAAATCACTGACTAATCGCCCATAACTCAAAACACAACAACAACAACAACAACAACGTAATCGTATGATATGTACGTGTACCTATGCACAATTTTGCACTATTTCCGGATGTCGTTTGCAAAGCGTAAACAAGATCAAGAAAGCATTAAATGGGTGAGTTCGTACTCTTTCATTCACTTTTTTTTTGTCTCAGTATTGGTTAATTGGTATTTCAGGCAGTGATTATGATGTAAACTTTAGTGAAAACGCTGTTTCGTCTCGGAGTATATAAACGAGAAACGGTCGTATCATGTGTGAATATCTGCACAGCTACATGTAGCTGGCTTCAGAATTTCGGGCCTTCGCTCGAGCTCCCCGTCCGTAGGCCTTGTTCGGCTGATCGGCGGCTGCGTTCGCGTTCGCGGAGCGTATAATTTTGATCGGACCCATTTTTATGTTGTGTCAAGTTTTATTTATTTCTTTCCACTTGCATAAAAAAACATTTCATTCAGGAACAGTAGTAACAAGTTCATCGTCAACTAGCATAAATACATTAACAATGAAACAGTTATAAAGACTTTAACAAATGTGGAAAAAGAGCTGTGCCTGTCATTGTGGTCTGTTAAAAAAGCACAGCTTGTTAAAACACGGATCATCTTTACAGAAACAACATTTTTTTAAAGAAATAGGTTAAATGTAGGGGGGGGGGATGAACATTTAGATCTAGAGGTCTAGACCTATTTGGTCTTTGGATCGCTTCTGTTTTATTGTTATCACTTCATTGCCACTTTTAGTATTTTTCAGATGGGCGTGGCGCGGCAGAGGCGGCGGAGCGACTTCCAAAGGGGGGTGGCGCTAGTGTACTTTCGTATCCATTTTTTACCTGTTACTCCGGCCTACTGAAACATTCCAAAAATCAACTTAATCACCAATCGTTCAAATAACGGTCATGATTGATTATATTCTTACCCCTTTTGTATCAATTTTCTTATCTTTTTGGAGTATTTTTTTCTTTGGCGGAAATTACTCTTAGTCTTAGTCACTTGAAATTAGGGGCACGTTAAATGATGAGAGGAAACAGTGGCACTTATTAGAAAACAAAAGGAGCACCTGTCAAACAAAGGCTAATTATCAGATGTGAAAATAAGGCACTTCTTACCGGTACATTAAAAAAAAGAGGCACGCACCAGGGATGAAAAGGGATTTCATCAGATTTTGATAGGGGCATTTATAAGAAGTGAAAAGGGATATTTATTAAAAAGGGATATGTTTCTTATTAGAAAGGGAAATGGGGCACATATTATTGTTTAAAAGGGTAATTATCAGATGTGAAAAGGGGCACTTATAGCATCTGAAAAGGGGCACTGACCATACATGAAAAGAGGAACTTATGAGAATGAAAAAGGGGCACTAATGATAAAGGGAAATGTGCGTTTATTGAAAGAAAAGGGGCACCAATCTAATTTTGATAGGGGCATTTATCAGAGGTGAAAGGGGGCTTTAATGAGAAAGGGGATCGAAGTGCAAGTGGCACTTATTAAAGATGAAAAGGGGGTAATTATTAGAAGGGGAAGGGGCACTTACAAGAAGGAAAATATTATTTATTAGGAAGGAACAGGGGGATGTGTCAAAATAAAAGGGGCATTTATAAGAGATGAAAAGAGCACTTATCAGGAGGGGAAGGGGCACTTGTCAAAGTAAAATCAGTATCTCTCATAATTGAATAGGGTCATTTAAAAGAGATAAAAAGGGGCACTTGTGAGAATGAAAATTAACTATTTTCATAGATGAAAAGGGGCATTTATGAGAAGGGAAAGGGTCTCTGTTTTAAATGGGGGCACTTATCATATGGAAAGGGGGCACATGTGAAAATATAAGGTGCGCTTATCCGAGTTAAAAAGGGGAAGGTGCACTTTTTACAAAAGATAAGGGGAACTTACTCGAAATTAAAACGGGTGCTTATGAGAATGGAAAATGGACACTATTGCAAAGGAAAATGGGAACTTGTCAAAGGAAAAGGGGTACCTGTCAAATAAAAGTGGCGCTTATCAGAAGTGGAAAGGGGAAGGGGCACTTGCCAAACTTTGGTCATGTATGTATCTTGCAGAGCCAATGAACTTATAGGATTTCGGGGTCACAAGATCCAAGGTCAAAAGGCTCATTATGTATGCAAAAATAGCTTGTGATCGCTTTATCTCAGGAACTGATCAATGGATTACCATTTAACTCAAGACACTGTATATCTTGCAGAGCCAATGAACCGATCAGATTTTGAGGCCAAAGATCATGGGGCTCATTAGGTATGCCTATACATGTAAATAGCTTGTCAGAGCATTATCACTAGAACCGACAGATGGATTAGTACTATCAAACTCAGGACATGGATGTATCTTGCAGAGCCATGTATTATACATGAAAAATAGATTGTAATCACGATAATCTGATTTCTGAGAACCTGTTATGGATTACAATTAAACTTTAATTATTAAAAATTGCTTCCGTTTTGGTTTGTAAATTTACTCTATGGCAGAGGCATCGTTTTCGACTTTGTGCAGTCAAAGATCCATCTAGTTTTAATTTTTGATATTTCTTGTACAGGATGACGATGTGAGAAAGATCAAGAAAGGATCAGGGCCTGTCACTAGAATGAAAGAACGATGAGTATGGCAGGGATATCAAGATCGGATGAGATGATGATGGAGACAGCAGCCGTGCTATCATTTCAAAAAGGTAAGACTATACAGTAGGCTTGCGGGTGCATCATGTGAGAGAGAGGGAGGATTGAGGAGTCCTGAAAAAGGACTCTCGGTAATCTTTTTTGAGGGTTTGTAGTCCTGAAGGTAAGACTGTTTGAATGGATTTCTAGCTTCAAAGTGAGAGAAGTATGATATTTTTTTTATTTTATGTTGTCATCATTTAAAGCCCCACTGTACTACTTGTATTTACTTGCTCCCTCTTTATAGAAAACAATGCCTAATCAGTGACCATTGGTCCCCATGATCCTCTTTTTCTTATGTAAATTGAGGGCTGAGTGACCACGCTGTGTGTGGTCTAATCCCTACTGGCCAAACTAGTACAGACGGCCTTTAAAGGGATCCGGTAGCTTTGTCTCAGATTCTGAAACAAAATTCTGGATTTAGCTCATGATGCCATGATAATTATAAACCTTTAGGTCAGTCAGGAACCCCATTACTTTTACAAGCCGATAGCCTGTCTAATTATCAAGATATTTATGATTGGAATTACAAATTTTGAAAACTGTTCGCCTGACGGTTTTCATAACACTACAGTCTATTGGGGAAAACGAGTATGGTAAAACTGGTCACTCAAAGATTTTTACTTTTTTGAGGCACTTCTTGATCATTTTGAAGCGAGATTTTTTTAGGGCTTCAAAATTACACCATATCACAGACACTGATGACAAGTACACTGTAGGGCCGTGTATCTCAGATTTAACATTGTTAAACGATCCCTTTAAAAGTGAGAGAAGTATGATATTCTGTATTTTATGTTGTTATCATATGATAAGGGAACATAAGAACTGATCTGTAAGAGAATTATATCAATACGAAATTGAATAACAAATTTATTTATTTTATTTCCAGGCAAGATGATAACATACAAAACATCACAAAGTTGACAAAATGATATAACATAAACAAAATGATATTTAGCACCAGCCAATGCCTGAGGATCACCTAAAAGAATTTAAAAATTCTGTGTAGAGGCTCTTCACATTGGCTGGTGCATACATTAAACAAAATATAAAGATAAGGTCAACATCATTTATAAATGAATGTGTAACTAAAATTAACCATCCTATTAGTCGGCTTACGCTGAAAGGGTGGGTAGCGTCGCGTTGACTTAAACGCGACCATTCGTCCGAAGCCCCCGCCCCCCCCGGTTTGGCCCAAAGGGTGCGTTGACTAGTCTTCCATATCATTCATTTATAATAGAATTTAAGGAATAGAAATTCAAGTCGTTTAGATCTAAATTGAAATAATCAAGATAGAAACAAATTAAAAATTAAATCAAACTAGTTTTTACGTAGTCTTGCAGATCAGGCGTTTATAAGAATTAAATCAATAAATAACAAGAAACACAATCAAATAATGTACTATGATATCTAAAATGTCTAATAAAGGTATTTACATAGTCTTGCATATCAGTCGTTTATTTATTAAAATAACCAAAAATAATATCCATTTCTTTCTATATATGGAATTCAGAACCCCTCCCCCCCCTGCTTATCCTGAAAGGGCAGGCACGTAGCTACGGGGTAGGGGGGCACATACCCCCCCCCCCCCCCTCAAAATAAACAAAACAACCAAAACCAAAAAACAAAAAAATAATAATAATGATAATAATAATAATAATAACAAATCCAAGATCGGTTGAACTTTTTTAGACCCCTCCCCAGGACGTCGATCGATTACATGTATGTGCCACCCCCCCCCCCCTAAAAAAAAAAACCATCAAACTCTGGCTACGTGCCTGCGAAAGGGTGCATTAAGGTGGTCAAATATTTATTGAATTCATTAATTGATGTAATTTTTATAAACGCCTGATCTGCAAGACTACATAAAAAATAGTTTTATCTAATTTTTAATCTGTTTCTATCTTGATTATTTGAATTTAAACGACTTGAATTACTATTCCGTACATTCTATTATAAACAACTGATGTGGAAGACTAGTCAACGCACCCTTTCGCCCAAACCGGGGGGGGGGCTTTGGACGAATAGTCGCGTTCGACGCGACACAACACTCCCAACGAACTCTTTCGGCCACACCGGGGGGGCTTTGGACGAATGGTCGCTTTCAAGTCAATGCGCCTCGCCGCGACGCTACCCACCCTTTCGGCATAAGCCGTATTAGTCTATCAAATCTACCAAATCTAAAAAAACAAAAAAACATAGCAATCAAGATATTTATGGACGAGTCTGTAGATGTAGATGTTATACTCTCAGTTTTTTTCATTCAGGTGAGATGCTGAACGGCTTTAGATCAATCAAGGAAGAGCCAATGGAGGAGCTGATACTGGAGCCATCAGACGGAGGGAACGAAGAATATCAGACAATCTTCATAAAGGAAGAAAGGATGGAAGCAAATGGGTGGGAGGAGAGTGAAACCCACATACACAATACATCCTCTTCATTAGTGAATGAAGGTACAGTGAAAAAACTTAACAAGTAACTAAGATTAATTTCATTTGAACATGCATCGGTCTACCATAGTAATTACAGACCCATGAGAATAAAGAAAATTTTTGAGAAGGTATTTTTCTAGATATATTCTATATTCAAGCATAAAGGATGTACCCCAAACTGTCACTAATGTTTCTCTTAATATTACGCCTTTACTGACAACTTGATGCCAACGCTGTCTTTGCTTTTGCAAAGTAAAATGTACACTAAACATGTATTGTGTGCTGTTTATTTTCTACATTGCATGCATAAGGCCTAAAATAAAAACTTGTTGCATTGCCCTTTGGGTGCCAAAACATGGGTCGGTCGGTCAGAAAAGATTTTATTTTTTTAAACTTTTTTTTTGTCCGCCTCTTTTGGCTGATATTTCTCAGTTTGTAATGCTTTAATACATGTGTTTCAGCGTCATCATTCCATTCATATCTTTTTCACCTCATAATAATCCATGGTTTGCATTGTTGTGTTGAGACAACACTCTGTGCTTCCCAGCTGATGAAGTTGGTTTTCAACTACCTGTAAAACTTGCTAGCAATGTGAAGATTGTTGACAAATTGAACAGGTGGTCCCGGGCACAAAGTGGTCTCTTTACTAACCAAAAAAGGGACCGAAATTGACACAGGAAAAGACAGCCAGACACTTTTGCATGCAACAGGTTCAAATCATAGCCTATTGCAAATGTTTGTATCTATAAAACCAATTGAAAAACATGTAAATATCCAGTCTTTGAGCGCTCGATTTGAGACTGTCAGGCAATATATCAACAGATTCCAAATTGATGAAAAAATTGAAAATTTGTCTCGATGTATATGGTCATTTTGACAGTAAAGGGTGTAACATTTCTCAAACAGGGTCAAAATTTCAAAATATGTTTCCATAAACATTTCTACTAAAATTATTACTAGAAATGTCTAAATTATGGATTTTTTTTTGTTTTGGAGCTTAAACTACATCAGAAACCTGGAAAAATAATGAACAACTGTGACAAATATGATAAATTTGAACAAAAACAACATTTTAATTCTATCAACTTAAATGACAACATTTGTTTTGCAAACATAATTCATTGCAATTTTCCATTTGCTATTCTAATGTACTTGAAGGCTTAAAAAAAAATTTTGGTCAAACTTATTCGGTCTGTAAAAAAATTCAATGTGTTTTTCAAATTCAAGATAAAATACATGTACAACGCTGACATTTAATTTTTCAAATTTACCTATCTTCCAAGAGGGGGAGCAAAATAAAAATGATTATACAAATACCATTCAGTGAGGGCTAATTACTAACGCAAATTCCAAAGAAATCGCATTTCAAATGAGGAGTTGAAAATTTCTTATGTGTGTGTTTCAGAGGCTTCAGGTTAACAACAATGCCTGTTTCGGAGACTTCAATCATGTTAACATAAAATGTTGTCCATTACTTAGGTAACAGATTAAGAAAAATTCAAAAAATCTGTGCTGATACTCAGGGAAATATATTGTCAAGTATGTAATTTCCAAGGAAATCACTTTTCTCATATCAAAGTTGAAACATTCAGGGAACATATGCATGTATAGGATCAGTTCACAGTAGTGTTTCGGAGACTTCAAATATGTTAACACACTTTATTGTCAACTACAAAGGCAATATACAAAGCAAAATTTAACCTTACTTTTGAAGTTTTGATAAAATGTTGAACTGAAAGTAAAGCACTTAAAATACTTGTTCACATAGAAACCATTTATATTAATTCATAGCAATGTATCATTACCCTTCACTTGCGTCTTTGTCATCATTTATTCTTAGTGCAAAGAATTAAATTTCTGCACAGTGGTTTCCACGAACTTGTTCGTTATGCGTTTACATTTACACAGACATTCACAGTCCCTTATTTTAATTCACCCTGTTAACTTTGTTCAGTACCACAACACATGCTCATATACATTTTAGAAAAATCTTTTTGTCTAAGTATTTCTCACATACAGAAAGTTGATCCTGTTAAATGTTTTTTTTAATAATCTGAGATCTAACATGGGTAATACTTACAAGAGCCATGAATATTACCCCATTTGTAGTCCTGCTGCTAGATGAAGGTGCATCAAAATATATGGCAACATAATCGCTCACATTGATGCTGCAATTGGAGAAGAAAATAGGAAATTAGCAGTTTGTACTGCACAGAGCAATGTTCATACATACATGTATATCTGAGCTTAGACACTAAAAAACAATAATTTTGTTTGATTTTAAAAGTACATCTTGAACGTATATTTGCATAGTGCATTACATAATATCTTATTATTTATCCATGTGTTGTTAATAAGAACTAGTTCAGTAGTCTATATGGGCACCATCGCTAAGGATGCTTTATGTGTACATTGCACAAATCTTTAAGTACTAATTAATGACAGACTTGTTTTAATCTGTTTTCCCCATGGATTTGCAGGAATAACATGTTCAAGATTGTAATATTTACACGGCTTCCATTCATTGTGCATAGCCATAGACCCGTAAATGTACACACATGTATATCAAAAGTCTAATTTAAACATTTGGTACTGAGGCAAACCTTAAAAGTCAGGTGACATCCAAATATAAATTGATTCATGTTTATGTGCAGGGCTGCATACAACTCATAGTTTGTTATAAACATATTTCATAGATTTAAAAATATTGTACAATAATTTTCTCAGACCTGCTAAACTCCACCTAAATAAATATTCCAGATCTCATTCATCTATCTGTTAATCGTTAGTGAGCTAACAAGAGAAATTTGTATGTAACTTTCTCCAGCTCAGCACATGCTCACAAATACCTCCACATTACCTTTCTTTTCCTGGTGATGCTACACCACTTCTGACATAGCAACTCATATGTTGGTATTGTATGGTCTATTGTAAACAGGTGATCAGTTCTGATTAAGCTATTATACGTACCACTGTCTCTTGTTAGCTCACTATAGATTTACAGATGATGTGACAAGATGAATGAGATTTGGAGCATTTTTTTTTAGGCTGCACATCAACAGGAATCAAACTATATGTGGATGTCACCCAACCTTTAAAACCACACAAATTGAGTATGATAAAGGTACATGTACAATGTACAATACAGATCTTAACTAGGCCTCACTTTATTTTTAGTGACAAATCTAAACTTTAAAAACTTTCACACATCAGTTCCATTACAATGACACATTAAAAAAAGTACAAGTAAAGTAATTAAAGGACAAAATATACAGTTCTTACCTCTATATTCTTGTGGATAACAGTAAGGAAATGAGAGAACTGTCTGCAGTGTTCATGCCTGTCTGGAAGAGATGCTAACTAGTATCAGAAGTTGCTAGCTCATGTTGCTGTAACCTTGTCAATATCTTCAAGATCTTCATGGTCTATTAGTTCTGCCGCGGCACTAATGTCCTTTGGCAAGACATTAATCTACATTTGCCACACTCGACCCAGGTGAGGTAAATTGGCTACCTGGCAGGAATTAATTCCTTGAAATGCTTAAGCGCCGTAATGGAAGCCATGCTAAAGCCGGGGTAATAATTTTCAAATTTGGAAGCACATAGAGACGTTAAATATGTGCTATAAAAGAACCGAATATTATTATTATTATTCCATTGTCATAAAAAGGGGTTGTACACACTGCTTCCCTAACATTTCTAGAGGGTTCTTTGCCCACCAAATTTCTCTCCTACTGTTACAAATGGTCTTTGGATGGCATGGCCTTTGCCATTTGATCCTAAGGGGTTGGCAAAGAGCATAATACAGTGTGGTTAACACTAAATGAAGCCTCCGAAACATATTGGATAAATGTTGAGGATGTCTTATAATTTGGGAAAATATAGTGATTCATTTTGATATTTTATATATTAAAATATTCATTAAGCTTGGAAGATTTAATGTATCAACTTTTTGTTATTATTTGGTGAATGATTCTTACATTATCAAGGTTTGAAACAGGTGAATACTCCTAGCACTGGTGTAAAATATCTTTCTGAAATACTGACTATTGTAAATCTTTAAAAATATAAAAAGCCAATAACATCTAACACATTCCTGTACTTTATTAGATCAAAACCAAACATAAAATAGGAAAACTGTAAACATTCCCCTAACTATAAATTCACAATAGCAAAAAATATGGTGTTAACTACACTTTGAAGACGAGTGAGAATTTGGGAAGAATTTGATTTTATTCATTCATATCTCATTTAAACAAACAAAATACATATTTTTGTATTCATCAATAAAAAAAAATCTAAAAAATGGTTTAAAAAAAAAAAAAAAAAAAATTAAATGCTGACCGTAGATTTTCAGATTTTTGGGTCGGTTGCAAAGGGCAATCCTACAAGTTTTTATTTTAGGCCTAATTGATGAGGAAAATGCAGTTTGTATTATATTTGGATGGGAAAGCTTGAATCTTGAAAACTAAAGATTGTGTTTTTAAGTTTTACTGATTATTAATTCTTGTTCTTTACAGGTGTCGTGCAGATCACACTTATGAAGACTGTAGGACGGATACAGAGGGAGGGAGGGACACAGATGGAAGACCAGTTGGAATGTGACGTAGACTGCAAACCTCTTCAGCTCTTAGGAGAGCCTTTTCTCAGCTGTACTACGGAAACGGACGCACGCACCATCAACATGACAAGTACGGAGGATGCAGAAATCAACACGGGGGAATCTTGTTATCAATGTTGCATTTGTAACGTGGCATTTACTTTCAAAGATCACCTACGAGAGCATGTCAAAACTCATGAAAAAGATTTACCTTACGCATGCCACGTTTGTAGTGAAGGATTTGTCCAGAGCGGTCTGCTTCGTGAACACATGGAAACCCACCCAGGAGAAAAACCTTTCAAGTGCTCTGTCTGCAACAAGGGATATGTCAAGAGAAGTACTCTCGCAGTTCATATCACGACACACATAGGGGCACAATCTTACCAGTGTTCAGTTTGCAATGAAACGTTTTCCCAGAGTGACTACCTGAAAGAACACATTGCAACCCACAAAAAATATCTGCGGTATACATGTTCTCAGTGCGGGAAAAGCTTTCAGCGTTCTAGGAACCTTGATGACCACATCAGAACCCATACAGGAGAGAAACCTTTCCAATGTACGTTGTGTCCTAAGAGCTTTGCTCAGCGCAGTGGTGTCAGGAAGCATATGACAATCCACAGCGGGGAAAAGCCATACCAGTGTACCGTCTGCCAGACGTCCTTCGCTCGCACAGAAGGTCTGGCGGTCCACATGAGGACGCACACCAAAGAACAGCCATTCCAATGTTCCGTGTGCAACAGGAGATTCTCTCATGGTAGTAGTCTTTCGGAGCACATGGGAACCCACATCGGCGACGCCCCAATGAACTGCCCTGTCTGCAATAAGGGATTCTACTACAACAGTGGGCTTGTATCGCACATGAGGATCCACACAGGGAAGAAGCCTTACGCGTGTCCTGACTGTGAGAAGTTCTTCCCTCGGTTGAGTAGTCTCCGAAGCCACAGAAGAACTCACACCGGCGAGAAGCCGTACGTGTGTACCATCTGCAAGAAAGCCTTCGCCCAGAGCACCGGTCTGTCCACCCATATGCGAGTCCACACGGGTGAGAAGCCTTACCAATGTACCCTCTGCGACAAGAGGTACGCCCAGAGTGGCCTTCTGACGATTCACATGCGCAACCACACGGGGGAGAATCCGTATAAATGTTCTGTGTGCGAGAAAGCATTCACCAGTAAGAAGACGCTTACCAAGCACCTCAGGACGCACACTGGCGAGAGGCCCTTTGAATGTCCGGTCTGCAAAAAAGCTTTCGCTCGTGATGATAGCCTTCTGAACCATCAGAAGATACACACTGGCGAGAGGAACTACCAGTGTTCCGTCTGCGACAAGCGGTTCATCCAGAAACAGGGTCTTAGCACGCACATGAGGACGCACACGGGCGATCGACCATTCCAATGTTCGGTTTGTGAGCATTGGTTTGCCCAGAGGAGTACCTTGACGGCTCATATGCGAACGCACACGGGTGAGAAGCCATACGAGTGTGGTCTGTGCGGGAAGGGCTTTCCACAGAGTGGACATCTTACGCTACACATGAAAAGCCATACAAGAGATGACCCTTTAGCCCCTTCCACACGTGGTGCCTTAAACTGCCCCCTCAAATAATGCTGTGGCCAAGTTAAATGCAGGTGAAAAACTAGCTGCACAAAGCAAGAGGGGTTTAATAGTTATACCCTGCTCACTTTTATCCGTGTAATGAGATGCCAAATTGTAAAGTGCACCATGCTGTATGGCATAATATTTTGCTACGCCATTTTTCTTTGAGGGGGTTTACTGGTACTGTGTTATGTGTGAGCCGGTATTCTGTGGTGTAGACCCTTTACTAGAGAGATGGCCTACTTTCATCAAATAGTGTAGTAGCGGTATGTATAACTTATGCAGACTGGGCCTTTCACCTTACACATGACAAGTCATTCATTACCTAAACCTTAGTGGCAAAGACCTTATATAAGAAAGACGGTTTAATCCTGTTGGATAGCGTAGTAGTGAAGCAGACTGGGCATCTCTCTTTATACGTCTCAAGTTATACATTACATAATCCATAGTGGCAAAGACCTTAATTTGGAAAGACAGTTCGCTCCTGTCAAAAAGTGTAGTAAAAGTACATCATATGTTTATATTCCTGTATGTAAAGCAGATTAGGCAACTCACACTGTATGTAACAATAATATTTATGAAATAATTTCTGGTGCTCATGCGTATGTGTGGTATTTTATCTAAGGCTCTGAATTTAAAGAATTTGAGTCAGATACACAAATTTGGCAAGTAATGGTTTGAGCTTCTCAAAGTTGTGCCTTCATACAGAATATCTGCATACTATTTTTTTTGATGTGATTCGGTACATGGATACAAAGCAGTATTGAACCTCCTTCATGATAGAAGCTTGGTCACATGTTCCGTAAACCATCTCCAGAAACAAAAGAAAATAAAACAAGCCATGAAGCATTTATCTGGGTTAAAGACCCTATACTAGAAACATGGTCTACATTTAACGAATTAAATAAAAAGCAAAAACAATGTGGCATTATAAAATGACACATTGAGTGTAGTGAAGTGTGCTTCACATGTCTGTATTATTTTTTAAGAGAAACAAGTATAAGGGCCATTCTTGCACAGAGATAATTGTTAACCTTTTTTTTTTTTTTTTACAGTTCTCATTTTGACTCTGCTTAATGTTTTTAGACAGCTCCCTCTATGAAGGTGATTTGGATTGTGCCAGTCACCTAAAAATAGTTTGTTCTTTGTGTTGGTGTTCCATGTGGTTATATCTAAGTTTTTAAAATGTTATATGAGCTTCAAATATTACATCTATAAAGATATTTTGCTAGTTGACATACACTTTCAGTTAACACAAAACGTGACTTGTTAGAAGACGCACTCGCAAGAACCGCATCAAACTTTGACGGTATGGAACCCAAGACCGACTTGGGTTCTACTTGGCGGACGGCGGTGTTATGCTATTCTTTATTTTCTCCATGCTCTTCATCTATTGGCCTATAAGATATAGAGAGGTAATTTCTTTGTAGGTTGATTTGATACATTCTAGCAGTACACAAAATATGTGTAGGTGATTGATGCACATTAAATGTAGTGAATTTTGCATTTCTGTACATTATTGCGCAAGCACAAGGGCCTTTGGGAAATGCAAATACCTTTCCAGCTAACATCTCATTCATTTCCATGTAATATATATATATATATATATATATTGTTAGATGATTCAATTTCCGAAAGTCTAGACTTTGCAGCCCTCCAAATATATTTTTCCTGAGAATATACATGTACAATATTGAATTTATTTATTTACTATTTTTACTGATTTCTTTACTTGTAACAGTGGAGCTGTTTTGCAGGGTATATCATTTGTTGAACAAGTGTCATTATAATAGCAATAAAGATATATGCTGTTGAGAGCTAGAAGGGAATTAAGTCTGTGCTAAAGTACACAACATATGAGTTCATGTACTTAAATGTGCAAATTAGGAACATGTGACGTACATATGATTTATTCATTTTTATTATTTGGATTTAAATTTAAAAGAATTTCAATCTATATAGGATTTATAGCATAATGTGTTTATTATGAAAAGATGAAAAGATGGTCATCATGGTAACTTAAAACTTTTGAAATGATTCTGTCATTTCGTCGCTGTTTTCACGAAGTGACGGTAGTGAAAAAAAATTGCATTCACTTTGCGTTACGATTTTCCTCACTACCGTCACTTCGTGAAAACAAGGACGATTTAAGGGATTGAATTATATGTTATATATGTATATATATGCCTTGAAAAAAGCGCATTGGAAAGTGTTCAGGCGAATAATTATTATAATTATTTTCTTTTGCAGTTGTATGTTTTTGATATCTGGGGCCGTATTTCATTCATTACAACTATTAAGCAAGTATTTTACATTTGGCTTGGTTAAGACTCTGACTGGTATTCAGATCACATCTAACTATTTTACTTGAGCAAGTCGGCGTAAAAGCAAAACAATGATGAGCATTGTGACATCACTTAGACAATAAAAGTAATGAACAATTATCACATCTCATTGAATGCACTGATATATACTTTTGTGCAGCTTGTGAAGACTGCGTATTAAAACCATATGCCAGCCTCAAGGCCGCATAAGTAATTGGCTTAAGTCAGCTAGGAAGTTGTGTTATACTTGGCCTAAAGCTTCCAATGAATTCCAAAGTTGGCTAAGTATCTTATCTAAGCCAGAAACTGAATAGATTACTACCTGACATAAATATTGAATTGAATACCAGGCATGGTAGTCATTCCAATTTTGGTTGGAAAATTATATTAATCCACTAATTTTCATTTTCTAAGGAATATATTTAACATTGTGCTTAAAATATTGTTTGTTTATAAGCTACTGAAACAAGTAACAATAACTGTGATAAGCTACTGAAACAAGTGACAATAACTGTTATAAGCTACTGAAACAAGTGACAATAACTGTTATAAGCTACTGAAACAAGTAACAATAACTGTTATAAGCTAATGAAACAAGTAACAATAACTGTTATAAGCTACTGAAACAAGTAACAATAACTGTTATAAGCTACTGAAACAAGTAACAATAACTGTTATAAGCTACTGAAACAAGTAACAATAACTGTTATAAGCTACTGAAACAAGTAACAATAACTGTTATAAGCTACTGAAACAAGTAACAATAACTGTTATAAGCTACTGAAACAAGTAACAATTTATTTATTTATTTATTTATTTATTTATTAAAACATCTTTATACAGGATAATATGTTCAGGTATACTGTTTTTCAACATGGTCCTGTTAACATTAAAAAGCAAATCACATGTGAAATATTTAACAACGTTTCAAATAATTTAACTGCATATCGTCGCTGTTTTCACGAAGTGACGGTAATGAAAAAAAAATTGCATTCACTTTGCGTTACGATTTTCCTCACTACCGTCACTTCGTGAAAACAAGGACGATATGTTGACATAAAGTTAAAACAACATAGTAAAATCTCAGAAATTTTAAGCATCATTAGAAATAACATGCTATTGTATTATACATTTTAATAAAATACATTTAAAAAAAAAATATATATATACAAAAAAATACAATAGATATAAATATTTACAAAAATTAAATCAAAAATAAAACTTCTTATAAATCAATTTAAAAGTTTCAATTGTTTGGGCATTTTGTATAAAGTGGGGGATGCCATTCCATCGCTTAGCACCGGAAAATTTAAAGGCTTGTTTAAAAATTGAGAGGTGGACTTCAGGTGGGACTACATTAAGACTATCATTGTTCCTAGTATGATGATTATGTCGTTCACAAAACATTTCGATATCATTACAAAGCTGTGGAGGGGCTAGACCATGTTTACATTTGAACATTTGTGTGGCAAGAAAGTAGTCTTTTCTTTCATTAATGTCTTGCCAAGCTAATTTTTTGAAAGTGTTTTGAAAGAAACATTTAGGTCAAAGTTGCCAGTTATATAACGTGCGGCTCGTTTTTGTAATCTTTGTAGTTTAGTTTTATGTTTATCTGCACTGTTGGCCCAGACAGAAATACCATAATCGATGCAGGGTTGTATTGTAAATTTATAAAGAGTGTTCAGCAAAGAAGAACTAAGAAATTTCCTCAGTTTCCCAAGAGAACGGATCTTGTATCCAATAGATTTGCATAGGTTATTTACATGAATATCCCATTTTAAATTTTCATGAATTTCAACGCCTAAGTATCGTATGGACTTGACCTGCTCAATTTCAATTCCATCAATATATATTTTCAGAATGTCATGGGAACGCGTTTGCAATAATATACTCTTTGTTTTGTCAACATTAATTCTTAGGTGGTTTTGTTTGTACCAATCATTAATAGAATCAATATTTGATTGAAGTCTAGAGGTTATTGTTTGCACATCTTTCCCTATTTCAAATAAAATAACATCATCAGCATATATAGTTAGAACACCAGATTTGATTGATTGTGATATATCATTGATAAAAAGTAAAAATATAATCGGGGCAAGTACTCCTCCTTGTGGTACCCCTACTGACAGTTCCTTTTTTGCAGAAAGTTTACCTTGCGAGAATACAACTTGTTTTCTTTCCTTCAGATAACTTGAAAACCATCTTAGCATGTTTTCAGCAATACCATATTGCTGCATTTTGAAAAGTAGAATATCATGGTCTACACTATCGAAACATTTCGATATATCTAAGAAACATGCCCCAACTTTTTCTTTTTCATTGAATGCATCAAAAAATTCATTGTTCATTTATTCATTGCTTTGTGAGTATTCAAGTTTTTAACTTTCTTTTTAGGAGAATGTTTCTTTTGTGCATCATTATCGGCACAGTCTTCCTGGCCTGCTTTTTAGCAGGTATATGTATTCTTGCAGAATTTACGTTTGTGTCCAGTTTCATTGCAGAGGTAGCACCTAATCTTTTCTCCAAAACGACAGTGTATGTGCTTGTGATTTGTTTCTCCACAGTAAAAACATCCTGTGTAGCGAGGGGAAGAAGCAACATGCGCATAGCTCATTGTAGGAGGTTGCAGTTGCGGTCCTTCAGACACACATGACGCAGTTTGCTGATGCGGATTCTGCATTGCCATGGAGAAAGGATGCGGGTCAAGTGGGAAAGGGTGGCGAGTGGCGTAGGTGGAGGATAAAGTCCTCCGATCAACATCTATTTGTTGAACATCATTTGAGATGGGGAATACAGGTTTATCGTTTTGATCATCTCTCTGTAATCGACTATCTCGTTCTGAGTTGATGTGGCGGATAAGATTCTGGGCGAATACATTAACCCCTTCAGGACTGAGATGTATGCCATCATTGCATAGATGTTGAATTGGCTCAATAGAGTCGTTGTTGATGAAGTCCCATCCGTGGGATAGGGCCATTGATTTCAGTCGACTGTTGGTGTCATTCAATTTGTTGAGGAGGTCACTTTGATACGCTCTCCTTTTGATGATGGAGCTAATCGTAATCGCATTCACGGAAGAGCATTCACCTAGGATTTGAAGGGCCAGTGACTCCACTTTTTTCTCTATTGTTGTTGAGTCATTCATCGCCATATTGTTTGATCCGACGTGGATGATGACCGTTTGAGGCAGGTTCTTATCAACCATATTCTTTGTTGGTTCAAAGAGGTCATCTATTTTAGCTCCGGGAAGCGTTTTACATTTAACTCTCTTTTGTGAAGACATCGTGGACGGTCTGAGAGGCTTAAGAATAGAATCTCCTACAATAAGGACATCACATTGTAGCTTCATTCTTTCACTCACAACTGTCTTTTGTTGCATGAAGTCATCTTTACGCTTATGCCTGTAATCTGCTAATTGTTCTGCAGTACCATGAGGCGTTGGTTGTTCGGGAAGAGGGGGGAATGCTGAATGTGACTGTTTAGAATGCGATTCTGGTGGGGGGTTCAGTGTAGATGCCTTGGGATCTGGGTCGGGGCAACTGTCAGATGTTTTGTTTAGAAGTGACTCAATGACATGTTGAACCTTTTTCATGTCCATGCATAGTTGATCTACTCGTAGGTTTAGACATTTACAACGCATACAATGCGATTGTTGTCATCACAACGGAGATCACATACCTCACAAAAGTTCTCATTTTGTAGATCTTCGGTTTTATCATTCGACACAATAGAGTCATTGTTGATTGACTCGTCTGTAATATTGACGTCATCCGTTTCGGTGTTCAAGAAGACAAAATGGCGGCATATTTCTATGTTCAAATTTGGGTAAAAGTCTATAGCGGACAATTCATCGGGAACTGTGTTGTGATATTTCAATATCAAGTCCAAAATATATTTCAAAGACTCAACTGTGATTCCCTTAGGTAGTTTGAATCTAAAAGATGAAGTACCAGCTTCTCCTCGGCAGGAGTTGGCACGCAAAGTTTTAGCCATATGGGACCACGAAGTAAAAAGTTAAAGTCTGACATAAAACTTACCAGATAATAACCTTGCGGAGTTCAAATAAGGAAGAATAAAATCATATCTGGCATATTGCAGCATTACAATGTAGTCCAAATACAGTATCCACAAGTGAAAAATAAGGTGAAATGGTCCATAAAATCAGTAAAAATCTCAGTATATGTGGCTGTTATATCGGTGCAGGTTATCGTTCATTCGTATAACTGTTATAAGCTACTGAAACAAGTAACAATAACTGTTATAAGCTACTGAAACAAGTAACAATAACTGTAATAAGCTACTGAAACAAGTAACGATAACTGTTATAAGCTACTGAAACAAGTAACGATAACTGTTATAAGCTACTGAAACAAGTAACAATAACTGTTATAAGCTACTGAAACAAGTAACAATAACTGTTATAAGCTACTGAAGTCGTGGCATTTGATTGGCTGAGAGGAAAGTTTTATGAAGCAGGGCTTTGATGTGTAAACAATCTGCTCTATATCAGGAAAAATTAAAGATCTTTCTGTAGTTTCATTTTTGAATATTTAGGGGAAAAGTATCATGAGTTTGATGGCATGTTGACTGACATGCATATAATATACAAACGAATCAAACCAGTATTTGCATAATTATGATCTTTATTCATGAATGGCAATTCCTTTTGTACTTGTTTTTGTAAACATGTCTGTATGAATCTACAGTATACACGTAGCACCTGTATTTACCTGCAAGGAATCTATTAAACAGAGAAATTAATTTAAAATGAGTGTGTTGTGAGTATGTTGTGAGTATATGCTGTAGTGTTGATATTATCCAATTGAATCCTTTATGTAACGATAATGAAATGGTAATGTAACAATATTTTGGTAAAGCGGTTAGAGATATTGTAGACAATACTAGAGATATAATGTGGTCTAGTAGATAAGTCACCCGACTTTATAGATGAGGGTTCAGATCCCAGAATGTATTTATCAACACCATCACCATCATGCTCACCACCCTCAAAATCATCACCAACCTATCAAAATATGCCAATGCTTCACTAATTACATTTATGTTCACGTTGTGAAGGTACTATTTTTCGATGAAATAATACAAATCTGAAAAAAAATATATTTCAATTTTT